TTGCCCTGCCTTGCCTTATACTACCCATTTTTGTCCTTCATGACGCACATAACATTATATGATCATAATCAGATAACTTTGCCACCGCTCTCTACAGTCCCTACATTATTCTGTCACCTTATCATTAAGAAAAGTCTCAAAAATCCATGTTTGCATACTGCGAAACAGACTCAAATTCTAAATCTCTGCCTAAAATATTGACACGTCATATCCACTTTGGTATTGATTGACACGTCACTATTTTATTGTTTTGTTTCTTTTTTTTTTTTAATTTATAGGTCCGACTCTAAAATGAATTAAATACTCCAATGATGCTGTGGTGTTCCTATCTCTTTGGGGTAAAGTGAATTTATATTCTCAGACCAAAAAACAAAAGTGAATTTATATTCTTTATCCATTTCCAAATAAGGATACCCACGAGCCATATATATTTATAATTTTAGTGGGAATATTGAAGGTGAGAATAGACGTACATAAGCATATATAATGGATTTGATGAGACTTGTTGTGGGCGACAATATATGAGTAATTAATTTAAAAAAATTATTAATTTGCAATATTTCTTTATTTCTTTTAAACTTTACACCCAAAAAAAACTGAAAAAAATATCGACTTAGTTGTGGGATCCGCCGTGGCCAATGGTCGTGATGACACCACCGTCATCAGTTGACAGGGAGAGAATGACAGGAGGAGTCGACGGAGAATAAAATAAGCAATCATGGATGTGATTGGTAAAATACATGCATGGCAAATGCAAATAGAATCACTTTAATCGAAGTAGCGAGGATAGTGTACAATAACTTCTTTTTTTTTGTCTGAATCATGAGGTGGTCCTGGATGGGCCCCAACTATGGGTGGCACATTTAAGCCTTAACCACAACCCAGATTAATCCCCACTCACACCGAGTCGGCCCGTAAGGGGTAAAGTGTTGGCCAAAGTGGTGACTCCGTACGAGAGCAGGGATCGAACCCCTGACCTCTCTTAAGGAATGAGAGTGCCGAACCACTCACACCAACCACCTTGGTTGTGTACAATAACTTTTACTAGCCCCTCGGCACATGTAATTGGTTTTATTATTTTTATTATTTTTATTTTTTAGAATTAAGAAAAGATAAAATTAGTAATTATGTTCTATAAAAGTAGGACCTATTATTTGATTTTGTTTTTAATTTTAATTTTTTAAATATAAAAAACATGTGAATTTACCATATTATCCTTATTTAATTAATAATTCAATTCTTAATGTTTGAATTAACTAAGGGCATTTTCTTGTATTTTAATGTTTCACCATTTTCTGTTTTTTGCTTTATATATATAGATAACATACATGCATACATAGTCCAGTTGTAAAAAGATGTATACAGAGAACTAACTAGTGAATAACATCAATAGAAACATCAAAATGGGTAGATGGCATCTATACCCCATTCTCTCCAAGATTAAAGATTGCCACAGATCCTTTGCATTATGTGTGTGGCCTTGGACGAGAAAATCAGAAAATCAAGCGACGGATTATTTAGTGTTGCTAGCACCATTGAGGAGGAGTTCGAAGATTTGGGAAACAATACCACCCACCTCACTAGTGGGTGGGTGATCTGGTTTCCCATAAGAATTGATAGGTCCTATATTCGAAGTAAAATTTTAATTTATTGAATACATACGATTTATATGTGATTGCATATATTTGTCATTCTAGGTACTCAACATTTTTCGCATACATATAACATATATACCAACAATAATTTTAATAAAAATAATAATATGACCAATTGGCTTCTCTACTATTGTGCCGATGATGTTTCCTATCAAGCATTAAAATATATCAACAAGAATTTCCGGAGGAAATAAAGAAGCCATTTTCTTGTTGCTTGTGGTTGAGAGAAAGGAAAGGCCATTTTCTTGTTGCTTTGCTAGATGCATGGTGCCTATAAAGTCTAGTGATAATACCTGCCAAAGGAAAAGGCCTTGATGATTCAAAACATAATAGAAAGGTGGTAGGTGATTGAAAATATGTGTCACGCATTTGATACCCAACGTGATACATCAATGCATGCTTGTACAAACTAGAAACAAATTCACGTGAATTTCGGCTTTTTCTTTTTTCTTTTGGGGGTACTATATGTACGAGTAATTTTTGAGTGTTCCCGGTACACCACGTGGTTGGTGTACCATCCAATAGACGGAAGACAAATGGAATATGTCCAATGCAGTCCGCCACATGTCATAAGAAGAAATGCAGTAAGTTGGATAATAATTCCATATGTTCTATGTTTATTGGATGGTACACCAGACACGTGGTGTACCTGGAACATTTAAAAATTTCTCTATATGTACATATATGAAAATGTTGGTTCATGGTTGGTGCGGTTTCAAAGTTCGGGTATTTTTGTTGTCCTTTTTCGATGCTTGGGACAGTATATTAAGTGCCTCATATTAATTGGGGAACAAAACGAATATCGGAATATGGAACAAATTCTTGGATCAAAGAGAGTATAAGAAAGATGCTTCTATACCTAAAATAAGAACCACTTAGATGTGCATCATGGATTAAAATAAGGGTTTTTGTACCTAAGAATATATATCTGCTACCCACTCTATACTCGAGTTCGAATCCCCCTCTTCGTAGTTTTGATTAGTTTAAAGTAGAATATCGCTTGTATCCGAAAAAAGAAGAGAATATATGTATATTTTATCCTTTTGAAATGGAGAATTTCATTCATTCTTTAGATATCTTAGGTATTCTTAGCATAAAATGGAAAGAGAATAAAAAACTTAAGTATGCCCTTAAACTAAAGGGTTATTAACCAAAGTAGGGGATTAACCATATGAGATTAGGAACACAAGTCAGGGTTAGGTTAAGAGAAGAGACTAGGCACAAAGTGTAGTGGGATATATTTAAAAGGACCCAAAAAATTGGATATGTTTTTTTATTTAGAAGAACAATTGGATACGGTAGGAGAGGAAAGTATAGTTTTGATGAGGTAATAACCCAAATTGGATTGAATGGCATATTTGTGAGAAATAACTATATCACGAGGCTTCCAAAATTTTTAGAAAAGAACCAAAAATTCTTTCAATCACGCTTAGGATATCATTAGTAAGACTGCAAACCAGACTGACAAAATCAATTATATAAATTTAATAAATATGAAAAGGCCAACTCGATTTAGCACAATTAAAAATGGTATTGACTTACAGACTAGACGATTTGAACCTCCATAGCATCTTGGTTGTGCGTGTGAGAAACCCCCCTCTTGTGTAGTTTATATCATCCTTTGTACTAAAAAAACATGAAAAAAAAATGAAAAAAAAGATTGATCATGCATCATGCAGTGTCACTTACAATTGCCAATTTTGGAAAGTATAATCCTAAATCAGAAATAACAGCCCATAGCTCTGAACTTGGGGTCTGAAACCCTAAACCCAGCCAACCCATAAATGGGGGCTTTGCAGAATAAACCCAGTTGGGCATGGGTTTATTGAGGTACAATCAAATAGCCCATATTTTAATTTAGGGCCTGCAAACATACTTTGGGCCTCTTTTGGTGTTGCCCTACTTAGTCTAAAACCATTAAAAAAAACTTAGCTGATCCTGTCTCCAAAAAAATATTGAAGAAAAAAAGCCAACCGGATCGAGCCTAGTGGAAATGGTCTCGCTTGTAGACCAATGCCCTCAAGTTCGAACCCAATAGCACCTTGACAGTGTGTGAGAAAATTCTCCTCCCGAACAACCAAGAGTAGCCCAGTGGTTTGTCCGCCATTTGGATAAGGCTCTGGGGTTTGGTTGGGTTTCCTCCCCAGTTTGAGCCCCAACAATTGCAACACATGGTGTCCAGCTGCAGGCTCAGTTCCGCGAGTGGAGATTAGTCGAGGTGCACGCATGTTGGCCCAGACACCTTATAGTATTTACCATAAAAAATAAAAATAAAAACTCCTCCCCAATATTGCTTGTATGCAAAGAAAAAAAGTACATACACCTAATTGGCTGGTATTTATTACACTTATTCATGATATAAACCATTAAAAGGTGAAGTCATTCCATAAAATCCCTATTGGCCCAGAAAAAGTTGAACTCATTTCATTACTATGGTGGAGCTACTTTGCCTCTTCAAAACAAAAAACAAAAACAAAAAAATTGGTGCTTTGATGGTAAAAGTTTAGTTTAGTCCATAGCAACCAATGGCACTTGATTCACATTCTAGTTTTTGACTAAAGGAGCAAGGCTCTTCAACACAACCAAAAGACTAGAGGAAATTAAGCATGTTACCTCTTTAGTCTAGATAAGATTACATAATATAAATTCCTTGAAGTTGAAGCTTAGGATCATCTTTTCATGACCACCTTTGGTTCTTAGAAGTTGCAAAAGTCAAAGAAATGAAAAATATTTGGAACCAAAGTCATTGGATTGGATGGTCAAGATCAAGCTGATCAGTCATCAAAAATATGTTGGGAGGTTGAGGGCATGTTATGGGACTTCGTACATCCAAAACATATTACATTTCTACATCCCATGGTATAGATGATCCCATGCAACCAACCACATAAAATCTTAATTTCCACCAAAATGCACAAAAAGAAGTGGTTTTTTTGTTTTTTGTTTTGGCTAAAGAAATTCATAATTTATCAAGGTTGTAAAAAATTATAATAAAATCCAAAAGATGGGAAAGTAAGGACATGCATGTCATTTCATGAAGTCTCATCTCACCTTCTCTCCACATCCCCCTTTTTTCCCTTTTCAACACATCCTCAAAAACAAATTCTTTTTCACTTTTTTTCCCAACATAAATTATTTATTCTTAACCTCACCGCCTTATGACACAGCACCCCATCACCAACCAATCAAATCACACCACTGTCACGACCTTTTGACTCATCACGGGTCCACAGCCCAAGCAGAATCTCTCAACCGGCCCAGCTGTCACTTTACCAGGTGATCTTATTACAAACCCAAAAAAATATAAAAGTAATTAGAGAAGCCCATAATTGAGAGAGAAGTTAACACGGAGAAGTGTGTATGTGTGATGTGTGTGCGCTTTGTGGTGTTCTTTTGTCTCCGAAGCCAACCGAAGCCAAAGAACCATTTGCTCAGTCATTTTAATCTCTCCCAAAAATTAATTTAAAAATCCCAATTTTCTCTTTCTAGAGAGGGAGAGATAGAGAGATAGAGAGAGAGACAGACAGAGCTCGTGTACTAGAGATAGAAAGAGAGAGGCTTTTTATGTTTTGTTTTTGTGTTGAAATGGTTGAATTGGAAATTACCCAGACATCATTGTGATTGTTTATTGTGTTATTTGGATATGGGTTTTTCAGTACCGTCTGTGATCTTGTAAACCCACAAAGCGATCTTCGATGCGGTGATTAGATTGGTGGTAATTTGGGGGTTTGGTTTATCTGGGCCGTTGATTCACTTTTGCTTTTCGGCGAGAAATGAACGGTGGCGATGAGGTCGTCGCAGCTCCCGGAGGCCCTCCACAGCCTCTGGAGTGGAAATTCTCTCAGGTATTCGGCGAGCGGACGGCTGGTGAAGAAGTTCAGGAAGGTATTTTGTCGAAATTTTTAGTTTTGGAGTAATATCATTCACGACCCTTTTGGATCCAATCGGTATTTTTATGCAAGTGATGCATTCATGGCTTGTTTTTGGGATTTCGATCTGTTTTGGATCATGGTCGTCGAGTAATTCGTGTTTCGGCATCTGGGTCATCGAGTAATTGGTGTTTGATTGTGGGTTCTGGCTTTGATTTAGGGAAAGTAGTGGATTTTGGGTCTGAAATTGGTGGGGAGGTGTGCATGTGAGGTTTAGGTTGCACTTTTCTTTTATTGGATTGATGAAGAAACAGTGTGGAACTGAGCTTGGTAAAGTGAGTGGTGGCTTGGGTTTGTGATTATAGTTTATGTTTCACTAGTTTGGTCTTATAAATGCTTCTTTTAGGTTGTTGACACGTGAATTTGCGCCTTATAGTTTTGGATCATTGTTATTGTCCATCCCTTAGTTGGTGATTTTGGACTGTTCTCTGCGTGCTTGAAGTTTTAGGACTTGAATCAAAACCACAGCGTCAGCTGTCTTTCCACAACTGGTTAGATATCGATATATGTTTGTCATGAATCTAGTTTTTATTTAGGGGAAACATAACCACATTATACAAATTGTGTGCTTACTGAATAGTGCTGTGGAATTTCCTGTTCTTTACTTACACATCAGTTACATATGACGAAAAAAGACAGGTACTTAGGTTGGTTTGCAACTAGTTGGCTGGCTTAGGTAAATGTCGTCATTATGTTTGTAGTCTTGAAGAACCCAATTATAAAAGAAAGGTAAAACTGTGGTTTTGAGAATCCAACTGTTAGTTTTGATTTTCAGAAGACAATTGTGCAATTTTTTTAAAAAATGTAAGCGTGTCTATATCTGCAACGGTCTCAGGAAAGTTTTATATATCAGCGCCCTATAGTTTCTTTGCAGATGTCTTTGATCATAGTTACATTGAGTTTACCCTTTTTAATGAGAATAATATCTGATTTTGGGAAAGTTGCATGTTATAATCTGTACTTTGAACTCTTCAAGGGGAGGGTTTCCACCTGTGCGTTTATAATGCTACCTTATGTGCTGCAATTAGGTAGTTGATGATTCCTGTACATGAAGTGGCTCATTACGTTTTCTTGCTAGACTTGTACAAGATTTTAAAAGTGATGCAGTTGGAAAGGAATGCTTCAATGTGAGAGTACCAAAACCCATAATAAGTGTCACGACTGATGAGACACAGTAATGATTGTGAATGAAGAAAATATTATGATTAAAATGAATAATTGGATCCAAATTATAACCTTGTGATACATGACTTTACAACAATGAATAGATGAAAAATAGACGCACTGTGAATGCTGGAGCTGCAGAGGGATGAATGAAAATGGGAAAGGGATCCAAAAGGAGGTTTTTTAAAGTTGAACAGAAGGATCAGTGAGAACGAGTTAGATAGGAAAATAATATGGTTAAGGTGGTGAAGAGTTAAAGGGTGTGGAAAACAGATCGTAAGGGTAAGAATAGATTCATATAGCAGACACAACTGGTTGAGGTTCATGGCTGGCACAGAGTTTAGAGAGTCTTCTTCTTCCTTTATTTTCTCGGACTGTAGAGCAGCTGTTCTGTGATATATAAAGGCTTATCCATGATCTTGTTGTATTGTTCTTTAGCTTAATGCTGGTGTTGTAACCTTTTGTATTTTCAGTAGTTGCAAGCAGTTGACATGGTAGGAGTGAAATCTTGCTTCTATTTAGAAGGAGAGTTTACCTGTAGAAGAAAGAATATAATGAAAGTTAAAGGGCAGCAATTATGATAAATGTAATTCTAATGTTTTCTTTGGTCCAAGTTACATGTTCTTTAGAGTAGTATTTTATACTCATCTGCCAACTTTATATTATTTTTTCTTCTTTGAAATAATGTGAGGATAAGATGGGATTTCTTAATTTTCATTTGGCTGTTTTATTTTGCAGTTGATATTATTTCTGCTATTGAATTTGATAAAACTGGTGACCATCTTGCTACTGGTGACCGTGGGGGCCGGGTGGTTCTATTTGAAAGGACAGATACAAAAGATGTGTGTTTTTTCTTCCCTTGAGGCCTTTTCTGTTATTTCAATTTGAATGTTATATTCTGAAATACTGTTTCTTGTTTGTTACAACGGTATATTGTATTGGAATGTTGTAATGTGTAGAATGGTGGCACCAGAAGGGATTTGGAGAGGATGGATTATCCAATTAGTAGGCATCCTGAGTTCCGTTATAAAACAGAGTTTCAGAGCCATGAACCTGAGGTATTCTTTTCTCATGAGTTACTAATACATCGCCATCATTATTACTTACTTTTGGTCTCTGTATTCAAGTTGCTTATACTCACAATGTGCATTTTCTTTTGTCAGTTTGACTACCTGAAGAGTTTGGAAATAGAGGAGAAAATCAACAAAATCAGATGGTGCCAAACTGCCAATGGTGCCCTGTTTCTCCTATCTACTAACGATAAAACAATTAAGTTTTGGAAGGTAGGAAAGTTACATTCTCTTGTTGCAGTGAGTATGGTATTTTCAAATACCTAGCTTACATTTATACGATATAAATATATGATAATATGTAGGAGAATCGTTGCAATTGTTTTACTTGGAGTCTGTTTTGAGAACTTTGAACATATGGATTGCCCGCTTATAGCTCTAGGTATTGTGGATGTAGCTGTCTGGACTTTGAATTGATGCATGGTGCTAGATAGCTGTATGTATTGTAGGGGTAGGGTGTCAACTCTTCGCATTGTTTAGAAGGATTTAAAGAATTCAGTTGTACATATAAGAGGATGTCCTTTTTACGTTGGCTGTTCAGATGGTCACTATGGGATGTAATGTTACCAAATGTGTGTATAAATCTAATGGCATGCTTCATAAAACTGTGATCTGGTGCATTCATTTTTGTCCGAAAGATTGAAACTAAATGATTAAAATTGCCACATTTTGTCTGTGAATATCTTTTCTAGACTATTACTGTTGTGTGCTTCCTACATGCGCTGATTTCTTTTCTTTTTTTATCTGGTTGAGTGTTGTACAGGTCCAAGAAAAGAAGGTCAAGAAAATTTCTGAAATGAATGTGGATCCTTCAAAAGCTGTAGGGAATGGCAATCTTGCTAGTTCAAGTAATTTGGGTAGCTCTAAAATGCATCTTGCAAATGGGGGATGCCCAGACAGATCATTCAGTTGTCTGAGCAATGACATTTCATTTCCACCAGGGGGCATTCCTTCGTTACGATTGCCACAGGTAGTAGTATTTAACCCATTTTACATTTTATTGTTGTATAATGTATTAGCACATTGGTGCAGTTCATTTAGTGACCAACTAGACCTTTCATTATGTCGTTTTTAACCCTTCTCTTTTTGTTTATTAAAGTAATATTGGTTATTTTCTGAATTATGTCAGGAACTAACATTTGAAACTTCATTGTGTAGGTAACTAGCCATGAGACTAGCCTAGTTGCCAGATGTCGAAGGGTATATGCTCATGCTCATGATTATCATATCAATTCAATTTCAAACAACAGGTGCCTCTATTTCTTTATTGAACTTGTATCTGAATTTTTCGTCTGACATCATTATTAGTACAGCTTTCTGTTGACTTGGGGGCTTATGTCAGGGCCTTATTAGACATTATAAATTCAATTCTTATGCTTGTTTTAAGCCTGCTCACATATCAAGTATAGTCAATTCATAGTTTTTGATTGACCATGCACAACATCATCCAATTCCTGCTGCTGGCTCTTTTGTTTGTAATTGTTGATTATTGGCCATTGAACTCTAGAGTTTTCTATGTTCTTGAAAACATCAATGAAAACCATAATATTTGTTTTTTCACATCTCTTAATTATGAAACTTTGTTTGCCTACCTTTGGCATCCTTCTTCAAATGTTTATCAACTCTCTTTTGCATTTTTCTTAGTGATGGCGAAACTTTTATATCGGCTGATGATCTGCGAATAAATCTTTGGAACTTGGAAATTAGCAATCAAAGTTTCAATATTGTGGATGTGAAGCCTGCAAACATGGAAGATTTAACCGGTAAGCTATTCGGGGTTTTTTTTTCCTGTTTTACATTTAAGTTAAGAACAGTTTTAGTGGTAACGGCTTTTTGAGTTAAAAAGTATTTCTGGTGCTTGGAGTTGAAGTTCATATTATTGAAAGTGCGTGCGGTCACACCATTGCATTTTCATGCTTCTGGCTGAAGGCTTTTGAGAACTTGCCAGTTGATCACAACTCAGCCAGGATTAGTTGCAATTTGGACTGAAAAGGAAAAGAACAAGATCTAAAGGAAATTTTTATATACCTTACCTCATACAGCCAGCCTATCCGTTTACAATTAAGCGGGTCTGGTTTATGAATTTTGAAGGAACCTATTTACAACATACTAGTGATTTCTGTTTTGGTTTGTTTGATTGCCCCTGATGAATGGCTTGAAATTGTTTAATAATAGCAATTTGTATTATTGTAGAGGTGATAACATCAGCAGAGTTCCACCCTACCCATTGCAATACGTTAGCCTATAGCAGTTCCAAAGGCTCGATTCGACTCATTGATTTGCGGCAGTCTGCTTTGTGTGATTCTCATGCTAAATTGTAAGCATTTTCCTTGTTACTTTACCATAATCTTCTTGTAGTCTGCTGACCAAGAAAAAGAAAGGCACAGAATTTAATAAGGATGTTGTTAAGTGAAAACTGGAGAGAAGAATGATATGTTTTGGTTACCATGTCTTATAGATTACTAAATGGGGGGAAAAGATGAAAAACTGCCCTTTCTTTTCTCCAATTATTAGTAGATCTCAATATGTTAATAGCATATCACTTATGTTACAAAATTTGTTGGTTCAAATATCTTGTGTACAGGTTTGAGGAACAGGAAGCGCCTGGTGCTAGATCATTCTTCACTGAGATTATTGCTTCAATCTCAGATATTAAGTTTGGAAAGGATGGAAGATATATACTTAGCCGCGATTACATGACTCTTAAGGTTTGTTTATTTTTGGTTGATTTTTTTACTTGATTTAAATATGCATAAATGTTAGTAATCTTATGTAAGAAACCAAAGAGGTGAGGCTCTTTTTTGCAGGTTTTCTAACTTTGTTCTGGGATGAAAGGTTGTTAACACAACGTTCATGAATTGTTAAAAAAGAAATGAAATGTCAAAGGCTTTTTAAGGATTATTAATGTGATTATGTACAAGCTCACTCAATGGGGAACTAGACTTTGAAGCCTGCCTTTTTTTTGGGGGGTTCAAATTTCATAACCTGTCTTTGGGTTTCCTTCATCATTTGAAGAGAGATTGTTCCTTTAAATGGTTTCAGTAGCTACTTCTGCATGATATCTGATTGCGAAGTTGTGTTATTTATGTCAAATGCTAACTGCTCAAGCTTAATGTCTTGCTCCGCCAATGTGGCGTGAGGTTGGGATCTTATCTCCCTGCTTTCATATCTAACTTGTGTCACATATTTTTCAGTTATGGGACATCAATATGGATTCAGGTCCTGTCACAACCTTCCAGGTTCATGAATATTTAAGACCTAAGGTGAGATTCCATTCTTCAAATAAAAGGTGAACATGTAACTTGTGCCTACTTTGTTGGACCAAAGCCTGATTATCCTGTTTAAATGTGTCCAGCTGTGTGATTTATATGAAAATGATTCTATCTTCGATAAATTCGAGTGTTGTCTGAGTGGTGATGGCTTGCGAGTAGGAACGGGTTCTTACAGGTTTGTTTTGCTGCCTTGTACCTATTTTCTGTGTCGTTCTGATCAAAATTCTTTGTTATTTGTGTTAATATGTTGTTAATGTGATCCCAGCAATCTATTCCGTGTATTTGGTTGTGGTGCTGGTAGTACTGAGGCAACAACTTTGGAGGCCAGCAAAAATCCAATGAGGTAATTTTAACTGAAAGACATCAGGAATCTTTGGCTTAGCGGTTCATTTTTATGGATAAGTTTGGTGATAATGTAATTTTTTATGTGCTGTTTTAGGCGACAAGTTCCGACCCCTTCTAGGCCTTCCAGGTCCCTGAGCAGTAGTATAACACGAGTTGTCAGACGAGGTAATTGCTTTCTCTTTGCCATTTACCATTGAATTGATTTGAGCTTTCTTGGCTTGTTAGCCTTTCCCTTTTAAAGTATTTTTACTCAACATTATTATTTATCTACCTTGACAAAATCTATCACAGGAGCAGAAAACCCTGGGGTTGATGCAAATGGAAATTGTTTTGATTTCACGACAAAGTTGCTGCACTTAGCATGGCATCCAACTGAAAACTCAATAGCCTGTGCTGCTGCTAACAGCTTGTACATGTACTATGCATAAAGATGGTCCAAGGAGAAATGTATTTTCTTGGTTAGCTTTTTGGGGTTGCTGCTGGAGAAGGTTTCTCTTCCTTTCCCACCAACCAGTCAATTGGAGGCCACAACAATTCTCTCACATTTCAAGGTGCCCCTTGAACCCGTTGCACATGGTTTTATTCTCATGGTCCAGAAGTGGCTGCCACAGAATCCACAAGGAAGCAACCTGATTTTGTTCCCGGGTGGGCAGCGTCTGCTTTTTCTTCCCCCTCGTCCCAACCCTTCTTTCCCTCTTTTTTTTTTTTTTTTTTTTTTTTTTTTTTTTTTTTTTTTTT